CCGTCACCATGCTCTAAATAACTGGATTTTCACAAAGGGGGGCGTTGAAATGTTTTTTTGCTCCTTAAGGGGGCGGCAGCGTTAAAAAGGTTGAGAATCAATGGGATAGAGCGTTCGCCTTCCAATGCGGCGAACCGGGTTCCAATCCCAGTCGATACGAATTCCGCATCCGGCTTGCACCGACCACAGTGCTGACGTGAAATACCCTCAGTGGTAGGCGGATCACGGATCAAGAGTCCCCTTGCCGTCAGGCTAACCGTGGGAGGTTCTCGTTGCCTTCCTCTCCATGTAACGCAAATGCGGGTTAGCTCCATCGAAAAGTCCTCCACGAAGGCAAAATTTCTCCCAATACTCGATCCTGAAGTTCCCTTGTCTTTTGGATTGGGTTCAAAATAACAAGGCTACGGAGTTGAACATTAGTAGTCGTAAACGCATAAAATTGGGTCGGCTGTTCAACGACAGTTATAAAGTAAAATAAAACTCATTCTATTTATTTTTATGTAAATTAAAAACTAAAGTTTCTTATAACAGTTCTACGTGTAAATATGCATAAAATATTGGTATTTTTAGAGTGGGGCCGTTCAAATACAAAGTATTATTTTGGACTTTGTAACGCATATTTTGTACGTTATATTAGTATTTATTACTTAATTATACTGCTTGGTAATTACTTATTTTTTTGAATGTCTACGATGAGGATTACGATTATTAAAAATTCACCACACAATTAACGGTAAATAACCCAACAAACCATTAAATTTCAAACGCTGAAAAATCATTACAAAGTATCAAAATGCAAATAAATTATTGCAAGATTACTTTCTCACTGTGCAATCAGCCATAATTTGTTTGTATTTTAATATTTTGAAGAGAAAAAAAAAGGTTTTTCCATTTGAAAGACAAACCAATACCCACGCATGTGATCTATGACGTCCGCACCAGCTGATCTTTATCAATTTTTATTGATATGGAGTATTAAAGTTGAACTAAGTTTCTCTACATAACTTAGAATGTTAATTAACGTTAAGTTTATTAAATATAGCACGTCGAATTTTTTAAAATATAATTTTTTCTAGTCTACTTCCTTTACCTAACTTAGATTTATTATTTGTTTATGCATTTTACTGTAACCGTGATATATTTTTGTTTTGTGTACCTGGCAAACTTCGATGTTCCACATGGCTTCGTGCCTGTCTTTGTGTTACGTAAGAAATATAGAGTGAAAGAATTGAAATCTTTGTGAAAGAATATAGAATGTGTCACTTAGAGGAATTGATACTTGACAGGCTTGGCTTACTCGAAATAGAATGGAAAGAATAGGCCATTTTTCATTGTAGGCCGGCTTTTCTTTGCAACCCGGCTCACATGAAAACCATGGGGTTTTATATCTTAAAATGATGATAGTAAAAATAATAAAACACTCTCTTGTATAAATTGGAAATGTGGCTTATTATTATATTACTCCAAGTCTTTCAAAGGAATAGTAATTAAAGAAAGGATTTTTTTCTTTGATAATAACTCATTTTGCAAGTCAATACACTATCCAGATTTTACCGAAAAATTACAAATAGTGTTTATATGTATGCAACTCAGGCAAAAATGCAAATTACAACTTTCATTTTGAAAAGAACAGAACAGCAACTAACAAAATTTGGTTTATTTCATTTCAAGCTATGAGTAGTCACTTTTTTTCAAAGAAGTCTCAGAAGAGGCTGAGTTTTAAGACTTAACCGAAGAAAATTTCATGAAATATTGTTCAAACGTTTAAAGTTTGAATAAAATAATTATTTCATTATATTAAACAATGTGAACAAAAATATCTTACTTGATTGCCTTTCAAACTCATTTAATAGACTCTTGAATGATTAAGATCTTACACTTAATACCTAAAGGTGTTCCGTAGAGACCATCCTTAATATATGTTTTTAGAATCCTTGTCAAATATTAAAAATTAGACGAAATCAAACGCGAAAATCACTTTCTCTGAACAAACATAATCTTTTTTTCAAAAGATCTGGATTCTTGATATTTAAAATATTTGAGGATAGATGCAATCTGGAAAGTATGGTACCAATAGTTAAAACAGGCAGGGGTCTGTCCAGACATTTTGTGAAAGGTCCGTTTTTCGTGAAATTGTGAAAAAATTACTCACATTTTTTCAATCAGGGTCCGCTTTTATGAATTTGTGCAAATAGGGTCCGTTATTGCAAAAAAAAAACTTTTTCAAGGAGTTTTTAAATTGTAAAGACATACATGATAATGCTCAACACTGTAAAATTATAATTAAAAAAATTAAATTTTAAAAAATAAACAACAATTGCTGCTTCTAAATTAGAGATGCAACATACAAATATTTGGTATTTAGCCTATACTGCTGAACGCAGAATATTAATTTCGGACGCGAATAATGGAAGAATCGTCTGCCGAAGACAAAACTTAATTCGTTTACATCCATCTTTCTTGTTTTCTGCCCTGGAAAGGGTTTATTCGATTCACAAAATAATAATGACGATAAACAAATTTGTGAAGGGTCTGATTAAAAGAAAAATCATTTTGTGAAGGGTCCGTTAACGGACCCAAATTTCTTCTAAACAGACCCCTGACAGGAGAGCAGTCGAAAGTAATAACCTTTTAATGTCACTTACAGCATATTTCGCTAAAGGCATTTCAAGAAATTTTTAATCAAATCGAAAATATTTACAAACAATTGTAAAATTCGTTTAAAGGTAATTAATTCTATTTAAATAATACTATTTCTTAATAATTATTTATTATTACTTTATTTAATAGTCAAATTTGAAAAAAATTCGAGCTCAAAATTCTAGTTCAAAATTTGAACAAAATCGTTTGCATAGTTTGAAAAAGCGTACATTTAAAATTTAATCAATTTTTTTAACTAATGTAACAAGTTCCGTTATAAATTTTGTGAAAACCACCATTAGGAAACTTACTCTTTTTTGGTATTTTATACGTTCTTTTTATCGAAATGCCCTGCAGTAAGTACTTCTGAAATCATTTATCTTTCATCGGTCAGATAAGTAAAATAACTAACGCCTGTGTGAGAAGTACAGGTAAAAATAGTAACGGTGCTTAAAATGTTTCAAAAATAGAAAACGAATGGTCCTCGTGAGAGAGATTCGAATCATTAACTTATGAAAAACGTAGAAAGATTACTTTAACCAAATAACAGTCACTAGAAATAACATTGTTGGTTGCTACAGAAAAAAAATGAACAAAAGGGTTGCTTTTCTGTAGCTTAAAGCATGAAAATATTTGCCAGAATAAGAACAAAAATACGACTGAAATTTTATTAAATGAATTAATTGTCATACTATGATCCAATAGTCCATTTACTTTTTATATAAACGTTAGAGTTCTAGCACTAAATTTTTATATAAAAAAATATTTGTATATTTGCAGAAAATTAGATACTTTTAATTACTATAACTCATTCAAAAAAATACTTTTTCATAAAAAAACCCTTCCTTTTTTTAAAAGAAATTTCCATTATATCAATAATTGATAAAAGGGTTATTAGGGGTAAAAGGGTTGATTTTATTGATATAATTGACTATTAAAAATAGGTTTTTTTTAAAATCATGCGGAATTTTGTAGCAATAAACGTTGAAATGGCGATCGAGAAACAAAACAGACTTACAATGGAATTTGTGCAAATTGTACGACTTAAAAAATGATAATTCAAATAAGCAATTCAAAATGTTAAATTTTTTTTTATTTTTTATTTTTTTTAAATTCTGTGTTTTGGAGTTTTCGAAGGCAGCAGGTTTTCAACCCAATTTATGCTTAAAAAAGCATAGCTAGGAGTACAGAAAAGTCTCCCAAAAGTCTTTTTTTTTTCCTGAAAATAGTTGCTTAAAGCCTTTTCAGGCAACAACAAAAAAAAGGTGGCATAGTCGCCTAGTGCCGAAAATAGTTGCATTTTAGTCGCTTGCGGCAACCCTGAATATATTTTAATAAATAAACTACCGAATTAATAATTTAAGTCTGCAAAACAAATTTAAAATTTAAACAAAGCAGTGTTAATGAAATAAATAATAACAATGGCAGAGAAATAATAATAATATAATAGCGACAAAATTATGCTTGTTTATTAAATGTCGCAATTCATTATAACCCGTGGTCAAAAAAACTATATTTTTGTAGTTTACTTAAACTTTTTTTTTAAATGTAGTGACTACAAACTATTTTCAAAATGTAGTCTCGCTCCTTCATCACTTTAAGGAACCGAACTTTGTTTCAGAAATTTATTTGCACCTATGTTCAAAATTGTTTTGAATAAAAAATTGGCTTATATCAAACATGAAGAATTACTTAGAAATACTAATGCATGTTTACATGGGCCAGTTTCTTATTCTAAAACATTTTTTTCGAATTCGTTCATTTAATTCAACTTTTTATGCCCTTCTCGACAGCGAATATTTTAATTTAATTAATGCTAGGAAAATATCAAATACTTGTTAATTTCGTGAAGCGTTTAATGCTCTTTCATTTTTTCTAAGAAATTAAATGCATCGAAAATATGTTCCCGTCCTTTAAAATAAAATAAATGTTTCACGAGAGCGCATGTGAAAGTGCAACATAAGTGATAAATTATATATTATTCGTAATAGCTAACTTAAATATTGGCTATACGTATTTCAAACAACGCAATTCTTGTTAACTCGCAGTCCTAGGGGCATTTTAAATTGCGTCCATTGTTTGACCCGCGAAGAATTGTACGCATCAAATTCGAAAAATTAGTTGTGTTAGAATCCTGTTCATATACTAAACTAACGTAAAAAGTAGTAGTCAGGAATCTCTACAGCATTGCACTACTTTCTTAAAAAAATAGTACACTACACTACAAACTACAAAAAAGTAGCGACTACTTGTAGGGCGCCACTACCCTTGATAATCGATGAATATAGAATACAATTTTTTATTTATTTACATATTGATAGTTTAAAGAATAAAATTTCTTTTACTGAAATCAAACTTACCATAATTTTCTCCAAGAACTGGCAAAAATGTGATTTTTTTGTTAACCCTTCCTGGGTTGCATAATTAAATTTCATTGAAACACAATAACTTTAACAACCGCAAAACTAATTCGCAATCAAAAAGGTGATAAAAATTTATTTTTTTTATCTTCAGCCGAAAGAATACGTTGCTGCAAAAAAACAATAATTTTATTGTGATTAGATTTTCGAAGAAAGCGTTAAGATAAATATATAATCGTTCCAAAACTCACGCGAAATTTAAATCTTTCTCAATCTTTTAAAGTTCTAGAATGACACTATTAGAATGATGAGTGATCTTATCTGTTTTATTCCCCACGAAAAATAACAGTTTTCCAGATTGAAAATATTTAAAACAATAATCGAGAAATTTCTTTTCTCATTCGAACTGGAAGAAGAAAAAATATTTATGTTTCAGAACACGCTTTGATAGTGGAAAGTATTTATTTTTACTAGCATTATCGTTTGACGCACTTAAAACGCTTGCTTCTCTTTCGTTAAAATTGATTAAAGCGCATAATACGAACATAATTTACGTAATTTTTTTGAAGGAAAATCAGGAAGGAATGAAACACCTCCACTTTCGTCATGCAAATATTACGTAAGCAACTAACGGGGATTTGTGATTTGCCAATTTTTGCTAACATGGGGGTGGAAGTGGAAAGAGCAATGATGACGCAAAACATTAAAAGATTCCTGAAGAATTATTCTAACGATACTTAATATTTTATAAAATGAATCAAAGCGTAGATTTTGTTTAATATAATATTACAACAATTATAATTTGACTTCAATCCTAAAATAAGATTATTATTAAAAGAAGTTAAAAACCGGAAGTTGAGAATTTCATGAGAGGAGGAAAAATAAAAAAAAATGTCACACGAGTCTCAAAAATTGTAATGCAGCGTATAATGTTTTTTTCTTTTTTTGATACAAAATTCAGACTACGCATTCTAGTTTTTTTTTTTTCCCCAAATGGCTAAAACGAACGATTCAAGCGATAGGAACATTTACTTTCAAATTTTAATTGATTTGTAAAACTAATAATTTAATAAGTTCATCCTTTTTTATAGTTAACAGTTTTAATTTATTATTTTGGAAGTTATTATACCAGTAGAAATAAAAATTATAAGAAGTATTTTTGAAAAAAAATGCTCCAATGCAAAAATTCTCCAATTAAAGAAACATTTCGTTTACTTTTGCTTCTTGTTAAAATTTCGGATTTTTCCTTTTTTTCTTCTTTTTTTTATAAATTTTTAACTTGATTTTCTATTGATACGTAATTTACTTTATTTATTTATTTGCTCTTTCTTTCTAATTACTTATATTTTATTGATTATTCGCAAACTAATTCCTTTAATAATATCCGGAGAATGATTTCCAGAAAATGATTACTTTACTTTTTTAAGAAAGACAGATATTCAAACACTCGTATAATATAAAATACAAATGTATGTTTCAGAGAATATTTCTTAATTTATTAAACCAAAATTTGTCCCGCAGTGGACTGATCGTTAAGACACGGTTCCCAGCAGATCACCGAAGTCAAGCATCACTGGCTGCGGTCAGTGTGCGGATGGGTGACCACTTGGATCAGTCTGCGTAGGGACTGAGGGAGTGCGGTATTTGTCCTGGTTAAACTGTTCTACCGTAAAGTGCTCGACTTCGCGTGCAGGTTGTCGGGCTACCGAAGCGGGGGTGCCATCCCCTCTGCAGAGGATCAAAATTGTGATGGCATGTCTTCGGATCATCCTCAGGGATGTTTCTCAGACCGTCGCCGTTAGCCCATTGTGCAGCTCTAGTGCGACGTAAATGAACACAAATAAAGCAAAATTGAACTAAATTTAAGTTTAATTACTTAACTAAACCTATTTTCTTAAATTACTTTATTAAACCTCAGGTTTCATTAATTTATAGAACCTAGGACAAAAATTAAAAACGGGGAAAATGTGGATTTTAAAGAAATGAGCTCGCATCAAATATTCTTAATTTTTGGAATTTATTTTTATTAATAGAAAATCTCTGTCTCATAAGAAAAATATCAATGCTTACAAATCGTAAAAGTAGCAGCAAAAATGTCGCGATTAGTATTCAAAAGAAAAATCGAAATTTAAAAATGTATGTGAAACCTATCTTTCAGAGTTCACACAAGGAAAAAAAAAACTGAAAGTTCAGATACCTCGTCATACTAGGGTTGAAGGTTAAAGAAAGATTTGTCATGCTGATTCCATCAGAGAACAAAGAAATAGGTTTAACATTAGCTTGAGAGGAGAACTATGACGAACATAAAGCTTGATATTTAAGTTTTATATATATATCACAATAAAGACGATAAAAAGGATAAAAAGAAAAGAGAGAAAAAACGAAGAAAATTAATAAGTTTTATTTACTGAGCATAAGCTCCAAGTATACAGAACTCATAAAATAAGTTTTAAAAACAGAGAATCATGGAAAGTAATATAAGATTAATAAAAAGAGAAGAAGAAAAATTATTATGATAAAATATTTTTAAAAACATTTGAAAACAATTTTATTTTAAAAAAAATGAATAGAATAAAAAATATTAAAAAGCCGAGAAACAAAATTATGGAAAGGTATAATTTCGTCATCAGCTCACACGACTATATCCGCATAAAGGAGTGCTTTCTAATATTGTATTAATATAGTCAACAAAGCAAAAGATATCTATACAATAGTATGAGGAGCACTAAAAAAATTGAAACGAAAATCGACCACATGTAAAATATATACGAAATCAAACATATTAAGCAAAAAAATAGATAATAAAACGTAAGAAAAATACAAAACTCAAAACGTTAATCTATAAAGCGAGTAGTGAATTCGTATAAACTTAACACGTTCCGGAATCTTTCTAGAATGATTTAAAATATTTTTTGTAATAAGTTCGTTAGATTACAAAATATGAAAACAGAAGCGCAAATAGATGTTAGAAGCGTAAATAGAGGGATCTTTTATTGGGAGTTCTTACTGCAGTACTGGATTGGCCCCATAATGAATGTGCGTAAGGTAATAATAATATACTGGATAATTTAAAGTTTATAATTAATAAGGTTGATTATTTATTAATAAATTATTTACCCGATTAACTTTTTCATACAAATGCAAAACAAACAAAAGGTAATTTGAAACTTAACCAAACACGCACTTTAAATTTAAAAATTGGAAATATAACTAGGACTGTTGAATTTTGTTATTTTAATACTGATTCCCCTTACGCCAAATTAAGTTTAATAGCTTATATTGGATTTCAACTAGTGATTGATTTTGTGAGACATGTTGTAATGCAAATTCAGAGAAAACTGATAACTTTTTTTCTGATTTTAAAAGCTACTTGTCCTTACACATTTCTCCTGAAATCAAGGTTAAAGATTGCGATAAAAGCACTGATAAAAAAGTTATAAATAAAAATAAGAAAAGACAGTTATAAATAAAAATAAAGAAAGTAAAAATTAAAAAAAAGGAGAAAAAGAATGTTTAATCGAATAACGATAAACAAAACAAGGAAAATATTCATGCAAATGTTGAAGAAAATAAAATTTTGGATACAAAAATAAGAATATAAAAAATGTGAACAAGGTGAACTTAAAAATAAAAAACAAACATAAAATTAAAAATTTAAATAGCAAAACTGAAAATCTTGAATTGTTCTTGAGACTTATTATAATAATGGGGGCCATTGCAAGACGATGAAAAAAAATTCCCAACTTCAGGGAATTTTTACAATTTTTTTTTCCAAATATTTTGCTATTGACATGACAAATATAAAACATAAATAAAGAGAAATAAAAACAATACGGAAAAGTCTTAAGAATAACGACCACTATATAAAGAATAACCAGAATAAGGACCACTGCGTCATTTTTTTTTACAAAACGAAGATATACAATACTGAAATCTCTAACTTCAGATTAAATTTTTTCCTATAACAAAAAAATGTCATCTCCTATTTTATCATGTTTTTGAAGAAGAGCATTTACTGGTGAAAGACTGTCATCAAGAAATATAAAGCAATAAATGACTTCAACCTGACAGAATTTCAGAAAAAGTTATTATTTAAAAAAAAAAAAAAAAAAAATTATCTAATTGTAAAGTAGGCTCACAGAAATTTATTTGTAGCGAAATTATGAGTTGAATTTTTGTCATTTTTACATAAGTGTGTTTTTTACATTTCATATTACTTTTAAATATTGCTTCTATGTTAAAATTACAAATTTTATTCTTTTCAATGTTAATCGTGTTTTAAACATAGGGAAGGTTTTAGCACACAGATAGGTTTTTTAAACAATTTTAGATAGCATTGAAAAATTTTCGGAGAGGTGGGATGTAACATAAAAAAGCTTCAACTAATATTTTTTATGTTATTCCTTTATCTAATTTTTTTTTATTTGATTATTGAAAACTAAACACTTACTTACATTTTAATATTCACATCCTGTCTTTTCATCGATTTTTAGTTCAAAGTATGCATAAATTAACTTTTTAACGTCGCCCCTATATTAACTGTGACTAACATACTTTTCCCTCGATCTATTTAATAGAGTAATTGTAATTACTCCTTTTTCCCTAAGACAAAACATTATTACGGGACTATTAGCAAAATTTTTCCCTATTTTTATTCGAGAACAGTTCGATTTGTGGATAACTTGAATGCTAACTCTTCATGAATATGCCTCCAATAAATATTATTTACGTATAACCTATTGCCTGACACTACACTAATTAATTAATGCAGACGAAGCAATGAAATCTGGCACCCAACTACAAACAATTGACCTAATAAATCGAATCAAGTAGCGTTTTTTTACAGGGTATCTGCTACATTTTAGATATTAAAATTCATGACTTTTCAAGACTTTCCATGACTAATTCCAAGAATTTTTCATGACTTACGAAGTTACTGTTTTCTCCGAAAAAAAGACAACAATAAATTTAAAAAAGCATTATAATAACATTAATTGAAATGATAGGTATAACCAAAATTGTTATACTCTGCATCTTCATAATTATAGATTTTAAATTTAATAAACAGTGTTAAAGAAAGAGTTAAAGCAAAATAAAATAGCTGAAAAAAATACAAAAGCAAATAATTTTTTCTTCTTTTTTTCTGCGGAATTAAATTCGAAGGATATTTTTCTTGTTTATCGGAAAGGAAAGAAATACTCCTGACTTTTCTGTTCTCATTCGGAATTTTAAAAAAAAAATACGCCAATGGCTTGCTTCAGCTAAATTTTAAATTGATAAAATTAAAATAAAATAAAAAATAATAACAAAAATTCTGAAATCACAGAAGTTTAAAAGATA